CGAACATCGTCAGTGGCATGTGGATTTTCAGGGTGAAGCGGCCGCCGGGTTCTCCGCCTGTCTTCAAGGCTCGTTACATTTCTCGAAGCTTCAGTCAGCAAGAGGGAGTAGACATCTTTCAGACCTTCTACCCCACCCCGAAGATGACCACTCGTCGGGTGCTACTGCATGTTGCTGCTCAGCGTGACTACGAGCTTCATTCTCTTGACTTCAGCACAGCTTTCTTGCAGGGCAGCCTGCATGAGGAGATCTGGCTGCGCCGCCCTCCTGGTTTCACTGGGTCGTTTCCTCCTGGTACCCAGTGGAGCCTCCGACGGCCGGTCTACGGTCTCCGCCAAGCGCCACGTGAGTGGCACGACACACTGAGGACTACTCTTGCGGCACTTGGTTTCGCGCCTTCTACTGCTGACCCGTCGCTGTTTCAGCGCACCGACACTTCGCTGCCGCCGTTCTACATCCTGGTGTACGTCGACGACTTGGTCTTTGCCACTGCTGACACTGAGGCTCCGCCCACGTGAAGTCGGAGCTGCAGAAGAGACACACGTGGACAGACTTGGGTGAATTGCGCAGCTATCTTGGCTTGCAGATCACCCGGGACAGAGCACGCCGCACCATCACACTGACTCCGTCACACATGGTAAAGCAGGTCCTTCAGCGCTTCGGCTTCACCTGGTCCTCAGCACAGGCCACTCCTCTGGTTGTAGGTCACTCGCTCTCAGCTCTACCTTCGGATGAGTCCGTAGAGCCGAGTGGTCCTTACCCAGAGCTAGTTGGTTGCCTCATGTACCTGGTGACTTGCACTCGTCCTGACCTAGCATACCCTCTTGGCCTTCTGGCCCGCTACGTGGCTCCTATCAGGCACCGAAAGGTGCACTGGGATGTTGCAAAGAGGGTATTGCGCTACTTGTACAGTACATCGGGCATGGGGCTCGTGCTTGGAGGAGGGAGCTTAGTTGTTCTCACTGGGCACTCAGACGTTTCTTGGGTTGACTACCAGGCTACTCAGCGATCGTCACAGGGTTACACCTTCAGACTTGGATCTGGTTCAGTTTCTTGGCGTTCTACTCGCTCGTCTTCTGTTCTCAGCTCGAGTTGTGAGGCTGAGATTTACGCCACAACCATGGCTGCACAGGAGCTACGCTGGCTCACCTACGTGCTGACCGACTTGGGAGAGCGGCCTAGTTCTCCTCCAGTGCTGTATGTCGACAACAAGACTGCCATTGCCTTGTGTGAGGAGCACAGACTGGAGCACAAAAGGAAGTAGATCGCTCTCCGTTACTTTCTGGCTCGAGAGCTGCAGCAGCGCGGTCAGCTTCGTCTGTGTTACGTGGCCACACAGGCCAACACCGCTGATATATTCACCAAGGCACTTCAGCCTGGTGATCATCAGGGCTTCTGCACTTTGCTGGGGCTGGTGCCCACTTTTCCTCACTTGCTGTAGGCTTTGCCTGTTCTGTGATCTCTATATATGTATACCTGCCTGTTTGCTTTGCTAGGTTTAGATCACCTTGCTGTTTGTGTTGCATAAATGCCTCTGCATGTGAACTGGCCATGTGGCCCTTTACATGTGTTCAGAGTGTGTGGTGACGTTGTGATCCACCCTGAGCTTGTTTGCCTTTCTTCACTGGTCTTGTAACCCCTTGCTCTCCCCCACTTTGCCTATGGGGGTGTGTCAAACATTATTTATGTGTTATTGCTGTGTAGGCTATAGTGGGTTAGCCTTTAGGGGGTACACAACTCTAGGGTTTCACACTTGTACTCAAATGTTTCATAGTTCAATCACTTCTTGTTTCTGACAGCTCGGCGAGACGCTGCACGATGCCTACCTTAAGCGACGTCGTCGCGATGCCATTCCTCAATCCCGTCACTAAGGTCGGCATTGGCATGAAGCTCGCTGCCGTCACGGCGGTCACGCCAACCGTCGTCGTCACCGTGGCGCGTTCCCGAGAAGTGAAGCGAATGGCTGGTCTGCGACTGCTGCGTCGCCATCCACTCTCGAATAACCCCGGTAATTTGAGCGACGCCATCAGCCGAGCACTGCTTGAGAGTGTCGGATAAGAGTTGGGTGGCAGCCATCGTGGCTGTGTCGTTCACCCTACGACGAGCACTGAGCGGGGTGCTACGCACTAAAAACAAGACAAGGAGATAGGCGGTATTATAGGCGGCTGTTGATGTATATGTGTATGAATGTTTTTTAGTAAAACGTAATCATACTAAAGGCGTGGTGTAGACAGAGTCTTGTTACATGCAGAGAATGAGAAGGGTCGGATAACTTACTCGTTGTGGCTATAGCATCAGTCTTGGCAGGCGTGGGGACTTTGAGCCCGGGGTCGACGTTGACCTCAACCGCACCGCCGCCGTCCACGGCATGCGGCTCCGCGGCTGCCGTGTCCTTATAAAAAAGGACCATCCACTCCCACCACGGCGGCTTAATTACTGTCGCCCCTCCAGATGCGGATTCGCCCTTCTCGACTTGTTTCCACAAGGCCTTCAGCCGCTTCCACTGGTTGGTGCAGGCCGTTTCATTGCGATTCCAATCAGGGTGTTGCAGTTTAATGTGCTCGATAAGCCGGAGCCAGTACTGTGACCCCTGTTTACCCGTCATCTACTGAAGTTCTTCCTTGGTGAACCAACGCGCGGCCACGAGAATGGTAGACTCTTTGGCCGACCACTCCGGGCGTTGGCCTTTCTGCGCGATACCGCTCAAGGCAGCTTCGGCGGTCGTCTCTGTCTCGGCAACAGCCTTGCCGTTACGCTTCACCCTGCCGCGCTGTTTCGGTGGAGCTCCGCTTAAGGACGCAGTGGCGGCGGCATCCGTGGTCTCTTCGGTAGGGCCGTTGTACTGGGCGTCCCCGTGCCATGCTGCGACGGGATCGTCGCCATCAGATCCGCCCTCCAATTCGTCGTCGTCAGTATCCTTTTCTGGGTACTCCTCATCGGTGTCGTAGTCAGGAGGAATAGGACCGCACCTGCGGTGCGGGTTGACCACAGATTGCGCTGGCGTTGTTACGCTTGACTGCACATTACGCAGAGGCTTAGAGGTAGGTCTTCCTGCGGCTATTTCCGCATTCATCCACCTAATGTAAGCTAAATCGTCCGGTCGCCATGCTGGCTCCTCTGTTGCTCCGACATTGCCCTTGCGTTTGCAGGCCATGCTAAGGAAGCGTTGGCTAAACGAATGACGAGCTGTCGGGTCTTGTCGGGTTTGTTATGTAGCTGTGAAACACCTCCATTCTCTGTTTGGATTTGTGATTGTTTGTTTGTGAGTGCGCCGGGTAAGTTTTGTACGTGCAGGCAAGACATGGCAGGATTGTGCGCGAATGTTTTGCCGCGTGGCGGCAAAACACCCAATGTTTTATACAAATCGTGCAAAAATGGCACGTTGGAGCGTGCATCACGATGGCCGTGTCACCATCGTGCACAATTTAGTGTGCCGGCAGTCTGACACTTTCGACGATTCGAGCCGGTGTTACTGCCGTGCACTGGTGAGTCAGCACGTTCGTGCGATGCAATGCGACTGCTCTCATTCGTGCGCATTTTCGATATTGGGCTGACAAGAGGTGTTATACAACGTTGACCACAATGTTTTTACTATCTGATATGAGGAAGCTCTGATAGGGGGCCGTAGGAACACGCCCTGATTGATATTGTAACTGTGTAATCGTCTGGGGAAATCCCATCTAACGTCAGCTAAAGCTGAGATTGGTTGGTGGCTATTACGATATGGAAGGAAAATGCCCAGTGCGAAGGACAGTGGTACTGTAGCAAGGCCTTGGCTGGGTGTGTCTGTACATTAATGAAGGTGACTTGAGTGAATTGGAGAATGGGGAGAGGACTAGCAAGTGCACTTGGCTCAAACACAGTAGCCTACAAAAGCGCTGTGCTGTGGCAGCAGCAGGGTGGTGCAATAAATGAAGCATTTTACAGGAGACAACGCAAGCAAGGGGCAATGTGTTATGCAATCCAGCAGCAAGGCTAAGGCCGAGAGGCACGGTCAGCTTTCAAGGTGGCTGTGTCAGCGGGTGGGAAAAGGCAAGTAAAAAAAGGCAAAGGGGAGAAAACAGAGGAGGAAGAGTAGGGTGGGTGGCTGGATGAATGCGTGAGTGCTGGTGATGGCAGCAGCAGGTGCTGCAAGAGACTAGATGCAAGTGAGGGTTGTGTGTGCTGTGCAGCACCAATGCTGGTGGCACAACCATGTTCTGCTTGACACACTCTGTTGCACAATAGCAGTGCTGACACATCACTTTGAAGCTGGGATCACTGTATTAGAATGGAAGCATTGGGTGAAAGGAATTTTGCCTGCAACTATTGAAGGGCATAAGGGCTGAGAGGAGGAAAAGCCTACAGAGTGTGGGCAAGACACAGGCTGGCAGGCTGAGGGGGGCTAAATAAAGGCGAGGGAGTTGCGGTCGTTGCCTGCTTGCGGTCGGCCCCTTGTTGGAGTGGGTGGCCGTTGTGAGTTGAGCTCCTGCAGGCATCACACACGGTAACAGGGCAGGGTGGGGTGGCGTGGGGAAGGGGGGGCGGGAGGGGGGAGAAGGGGGGAGAAGGGGAAGAAAAGAGGGGAGAAGCGGGGGAGGAAAGGGGAGAAGGGGGGGGAGAAGAGGGGAGGAAAAAGGGGGGAGAAGGGGGAGAAAAGGGAGGGAGAGGGGGGAGGAAGGTTACAGCCATTGACGGAAAGCTCGTAGTGTAAACAGCATGAGCGGCACAATATGAGACATGCGATAAACGTAGCAGTCGAGCAGGGCGAAAGAAAAAATCGAGTTGGGCAGAGGTGATTCCTGAAAGAAAGGGCATGGGTTGGAGGGCATCCCAGGGGCGAGGGTGGGAACATGTCAGTGAAAACAAAAGGCAGGAAGATGTGAGAAGCACAAAAGCCACTCACTGCCATCCACATGTCATCCTGGTCATCAGACGAGTTGGCCGGGTTGGTGGGTGTTGTCATGACATGCATACTTGATGTGGAGGTAACAAACACGGGAGGTGTAGGGAGTCGGGTGTTAGAAGCACAAGCCACTCACCTGCATCCACGTGTCATCCTGGTCATCAGACGAGTTGGCGGGGTTGCCGGTGGGCGGTAGCGGGTGGATCATCTTGGGGAAGACGACGAGGTCCCTCCCCAGCACCAGGATGGCGCCAGCGTTGTTGGCCGTGCCTGCACAGTCCATGCCAGGTGATAGTGTGAGAGAAGGGAGGAGGGCCAGGTCCAGATATTAGTATATGTCATGCTATAGAATGAGAAAACCATGGGACTTGAAAGAGGGAAAAAAATATCACAGCAGCACTGACCGCAGTAGTTGGTGGCGGAGAAGAGTATGATGAGGTGGCCTCCTGTGAAACAGAGATGTGGCAGCACTCACCCCAACAGCACTCATCGCCACACCACTCACTCCAGCACCAATCACAGCAGCACTGCTCCCACAAGCATCACCCAAAGAAGCGCCACTGACCGCAGTAGTTGGTGGCGGAGAAGAGCGTGATGAGGTGCCCCCCTGCAAAGCGCTCAAAGCCGTCCATGACACACTCGTGTGCGCGAATGATGAGCTGCAGGTCGTTGGTGTGACAGAACTCCATCACTCGGTCAGGCTGGAGGGGAGGGGAGGGGAGAGGGGGGAGGGGAGAGGGGAGAGGGGAGAGGGGAGAGGGGAGAGGGGAGAGGGGAGAGGGGAGAGGGGAGAGGGGAGAGGGGAGAGGGGAGAGGGGAGAGGGGAGAGGGGAGAGGGGAGAGGGGAGAGGGGAGGGGAGTGGGAGGAGGGGAGAGGAGGGAGGTGTTGGATTGGTGAGATTTGAAAACCTTGTTGCATGTGGAATGATGAGCTCCAGGTCGTTGGTGTGACAGAACTCCATCACTCGATAAGCCCGGGGTGGAGGAGGGACGGAAGAGGTGAAGGTTCCAGGGAAGGGCGGGGAGAGCGGACGGGAGGGGAGTGGGGAGTGGAGGCGAGAAGAGGACCAGGTGTTGGGAGGAAGGAGGACCAAGCATAGGCGGCATGGGACAGGAAATCTGAGCACGAGGAGTGCAAGGAGAGGAGAGCGTTGGACTAGAGGAGCGGAGGGGAGGAGTAGAGGAGGAGAGTAGGAAAAAGAGAAAACGAGCAAGCAAGGAGAAGAGGACAAGACGAGCGGAGGAGGGGCAAAGAGGATGAGAGGAGAGGAGAAGAGGAGAGGGGACATGAGGAGAGAATGGAAGGAGTGATGAGACGGGGGGAGAGCAGGGGCAAGGCCGAGAGGCTCACCCCAAAGGTGACGAGGCCTGGTCCTCTGGCGTTGGGTTGCAGGCCCTCTATGCTGTCGTTCTCCGTGGGATCCGACCTGTGGGTCAGGAGGGGTGAGAGCATGTGTCCGAGTGAGAGAGGATCCGTCTGTGCGGGGCATGTGTGTGTGAGTATTCACGCCCTTTGGCGTTGGGTTGCAGACCCTCTATGCTGTCGTTCTCCGTGGGATCCGACCTGTGAGACGAGGGGTGAGAGCATATGTGTGAGAAAGCCAGTGGGTAGTAGTGTGTGTGTGGAAGTGAGTATGCGTGAGTGCGAGAGAGTGGGTATAAGTGTATGTAAGGCCTCGAGCACACACTGGAGCAAGTCCAGAACCATTGAGCCTGCTTCCATGGTGATGGGGCGCTTGAGCTCCTCGATCTGCGACACGTGCTGGATGGACCCAAGTGTAAGAGCTGACACATTGACTCGCCACACAAGGTCCCCCACAGAGCCCCACACAGCACATGGTCCCCCACAGAACCCCACAGAGCCCCACACAGCACATGGTCCCCCAACACACCACAGCAGGTCCATGAGCACCATGGATCCGGCCTCCATGGTGATGGGGCGTTTGAGCTCTATGACACACTGACTGACAGAGCAGGCAGACGAGGTATCACCCAGTGCCCCGACTCACCACAGCAGGTCCATGAGAACCATCGACCCAGCCTCCATGGTGATGGGGCGTTTGAGCTCCTCGATCTGCGACACGTGCTGAATGGAGCGCCCTATACCCCCGTGCATGCACAGGATCTTGTGCTCTATGAGTGCTGCTAGGGGCAGCCAGTTGAACAGCTGGTTGATGCGATGCCACGCCCATATGCCCCCCTCCTCGCCCTGCAGGGGTTTTATGGTGGTAATGGGGGGAGTGTGGAACCCAATGAATGAGAAGGAAATGATTGGCTAGGTCAATCCACACAGTATGTCTCACAAGCATAGTACACTGGCAATAGGATGGGTGCAGTCACATTGCGGTGCACAATCTTTGCACAGGTTACATCAGCCATGCATCAAACACGGTGACATGGACCGCACTGCACCACTCACCATGCGTTCGATGCACTCCATTCGGAAGCCAAAGAGAGCATTGATGTCTGCCGCCTCGTGATTGCCTCGAATCAGATGCACGTTGCGCGGGAACTCAATCTGGGTAGGGGGGAGGGAGGGGAGGGGAGGGGAAGAAAGGGAGGCATGAGAGAGGAGGAGAAAGTGCAGTACACGAGAATCAGATGCACATTGCACGAAAACTCAATCTGGAATGGAGGCGAGGAAGGGGAATAAAGGGAAGTGTGAGAGGATAGGAGTAGATGCAGTGTACAAGAATCAGATGTGCGTTGCTCGGGTACTCAATGTGGGGTAGGGGGGAGGGAATTCAGGGAGAATGGCAGTTCAAGAGGAAATGCGGTGTAAGAGATTCAGGATTTCGTACTAGCAAGCAGCGGATAAACGAGCGGTAGAAAGATTGAAACCCTGCGACCCACATCCATGCAGCCATCCCCCAACCATGCTATCCATCGATCCCCCATCCATACACGTTCCCCACATGGTGTGAGTTCCCTGCATCACCTTGAGTGCGAGCAGCAGGATAATTGTTTCGAGGCTGTGCTGGCCCCTGTCCACGTAATCTCCCAGGAATAGGTAGTCGATGTACCTGGTGGGAGGGGGGGGAGGGGAAGAGACAGTAGGGATAGTGAGGAGAGGAACGGAGACAAAGCCAGTGAGGGACTGAAGAGCGGAGAGCGGAGGCACTGCGCTGCCCCCTGTCCATATAGTCGCCAGGAAAAGGTATTCTATGTACCTGGTGGGGGTTGGGAGGAGAGCGGATGGAGGGGGATGGGGGAACGGGGGAAGATAAGGGTAGCGAGGGAGTGGAACGGGGATTCCGAGGCACGGTGCTGTGCTGGTCCCTGCCCATGCAGTCGCCCAGGAAAAGGTAGTCTATGTACCTGGTGAGGGGGGGGGAGGGAGGAGAGGGCAGGAGAGCACAGCACGGAACATATGTGCAGTGAGGATGAGAGGGAGTGAGGTGTGGAGGGCAGAGGCGCGGTGCTGCGCTGGCCCCCCACATGGCCCGCCTGATGGTCGCATCCCTGCACCGCCACATCCCTGCAGCAGCACCAGCGGAGGGTGGCACTGTGTTGTGTTCAGGCACTCACGCGATGTCGCCGGCAGTGGAGGGCGAGCCGTACTCGTCAAAGAGGCGCATGAGGTCGCCAAACTGCCCGTGCAGGTCGCCAAAGATCTTCACTGGCGCCCGCACCTGCCACATGACACGATGGGGGGGGAGGTGGGGGGGAGGTTAAAGGGGGGAGAGACATGGGGGGAGATAGGGGAGGAGACACGAGGGATACACAGGATTTGTGGCAAGGAGAGCTCGCTGGGTGACAAGTCAAACCAAGGGGCTGATGGCCGCATTATTGGCAGAAGCACCCAGATACACGCCTAATGGGAAGGTACACTTTTTTCTCATAACCTTTGTTGCTCTTTCTCACCTGCAGCACGGAGGGTTCGTTCTTGAAGTGCGTCTCAGCGAGGTCACAGAGCTCCACCACGCCGTGCATGTCAAGCCCCACCCGTACCCTACCGGACCCACCCTCCCCCACATTACATTACCAGCAGCACACATACGCCTGATACTCCCTCAGCCTGGACCTGGACCCACACTCCCAGTCGTACCTGCAGCACGGAGGGTTCATTCTTGAAGTGTGTCTCAGCGAGGTCACAGAGCTCCACGACGCCATGCACGTCCAGAAAGAACTGCCGACTCACCGGAGGCTTCCACCCCCTCGGCTTCAACAGCGTTTGCAATACCTGCAGCCAGCCAGGGGCAGACGGGGGGAGGGTGAAGTGGAGGATGTGGTGTGTGTGTCTGTGAGTGAACGATTTGATTGCGAGTGAACGTCATAATCTGCAAATACCCCAGTATACCTTTTTTTCCCTCCCCTCTCCTGCGCCCCTGTCCCACCACCCTTTTCTCCTGGCCTGCTTCTCACCTTCTTATGCACGCCCTGGATGGACATCTGCCTGTCCAGCAGGCGTCTGTGAGCCTGCACGCCGTCAGGGCTGTAGCTGATGCAGCGGTGCACTTACTTGGAGCTGCACAAACTAGCAGCCTCCTGCCTACTCTACCCTCACCCAACCCCCGCTCTCCCCCCCACTCCCGCCCCTCTCACCCCACACACACCTTCTTATGCACGCCCTGGATGGACATCTGCCGGTCCAGCAGGCGTCGGTGCGCCTGCACGCCATCGGGGCTGTAGCTGATGCGGCGGCCCTCATTCTCAAAGTGCTCTATGGACAGCTGGCGCACCAAGCCCCCCAGGTTGTTGCCGCCTGGGTCTGCTGATACCACCACCTGAGGGGAGGAAGAGGGAGAGAGGGACAAGGGTAGATGTCAAATGGGGGGGGAAAGCAGGAGACGGGAGGGGGAAGGGTAGCGGGAATTGGAGAGAGAGACGTACGTTGACATACCAATGGAAATGAAAACTGCGAGGAAAAAGTAAAGCTGCACAGTCAAGCAGACAGCGGAAAAACGAGTGGGGCGGTGTGGGTGAAAGGGGGGAAGAGGGAAAGGGTGCATTGAAATGGGGGGGTTGGGAAGGGGTTAGGGTTGGGGAAGGAAAGGGAAGGAAAGTAGAGCAGAGGGCTAGCGGGGGCTGGCAGCACTTACAGCGCGGTGATGCAGGCGCACGCCGCCCTTGAAGTCGGGAGTGTCACTCCTGCCGTCGTCGCTGTGGCTGGTGAGGCTGGACGTGCTGGGGTGCAGCCCGTCGCTGCTGCTGTCGTCCGCATCCCCCTCCTCGTCTTCCTCCTCCTCCTCCTCGTTGCTACCCCCCGCCCCGCCCCTTCCTGGCACGCCCCCCCTGCCGTTGAAGGACACCCCATCCGCGCCCTCCTCACCACTGGGTGGATCGGACGAAAAGAGGAGGGGGTGGGGGGTCGGGAGAAAAAAGAAGAGGCGGGGGAGGGGAGGGTTGGCGGGAAAATGCGGGGTAGAACATGGGGAAGACATTTGAGTTGACTCAATAAGCGCCCCTCCCTGGCACGGCCCCCCTGCCGTTGAAGGACAGGCCATCCGCGCCCTCCTCGGCACTGGGGACGTCGTGGGGGGGGGGGGGATGGGGGGAACATGGAGGAGAACGTGGGGAAGCGGGGGAAGGGGAGGGTGGGGCGGGGGGAGGAAGAGGAGAGGAATAGGAAGCAGACGAGGGCATGGAGCAAGGGCGTAGAGATGGAAGACAACAACAAATCCAGCGCGCCAAACCACGCACCTGGTGAGGTGGTCGCGAGCATGAGCTGCCCCGCCATCAGCCTCCCTGCCAGCGGCAGAGGCAGCAGCAGCCTCCCCACAAGTGATTCTATGGTGGACAAAAGAATCACCTCTGGTCCCAGCCAGCCCCGCCACGCACCTGGTCAGGTGGTCGCGAGCATGCGCCCCGCCGTCAGCCTCCCTGCCAGCGGCGGAGGCAGCGGCAGCGTCCCCGCGCGCCCCCTTGCGGGGGGCCACGGGCGGCCTGCGGTTGCCCACGCCCTCCGCCTTGGCGGACGGGGCAGGCAGAGGAGGCGGCTCCGGTGGTGAGTCATCGGCAATCAGCAGATCGTCCAGAAGAATGCCTGGTGTGCGCGCGGAGGGGGGAAGAGTGGGGGAGATGAAGGGGAGGGGAGGCGAGAATCGGTCCGTTGGAGGGTTGACAATGAGAGAGTGGAAATGGCAGAGGAGGTGGCTCCAGTGGCGAGTCGTTTGGCAATCAACAGATCGTCCAGGAGGATGGGTATATGGTCAACAGCGTGGGGGAGGGGCGGGTGGTGTGCGTGGGGGGCAGAGAGTGAACAGTGTGAGCATATGGTCCTCCAGTATTATTCTCTTCCACTCACTCCAGCCCTTCTACACTCCCCCCCTCACTCCATCCCTCCACCATTCCTCTCGGCCCCATGATTCCCCCCATCCCCTCGCTCACCCCCTCGGAGACCCCCATAGATAAAGATTGAGTTGGCAACGGCAGCAGCGGCGTGGCGGCAGCGGCGGGTGAGCTCGGTGCTGGCGTCGCCCCCAGGCGCGTCCGCACTGAATCGCCCCGTCCTTGCCACCGCCACCGTGCCCTTGCGGTCACACCACACCCCCGCTGCCGTGTCCAACACTGCCGTGCATGGGAGAGGGAGGGCGGAGGGAAGGAGGAGGTGGGAGGTTGCGAAAGTGGTAATTAGCCCCTCCTTGCCACGGCCACCGTGCCCTTGCAGTCACACCACACTCCCGCTGCCGTGTCCAACACTGCAATGGGGGAGGGGGACACGGCGGGACGAGGACAGAAGAAAGGAAGGCGTACGCGGCAACAATTAACAGCCATCGAAGCTCTTGGTTTGTTGATGCCACCGCATGGTCACCGGGCACACACCACCCCTGTCGGGTGGGTGCAAACATTCCATGGTTGCAAAAAGTGACGGCAGGTACGGTCACTGGACGCATCCTCCCCCACTCACCCGCCACACCAGATGCATCCTCCCCCACTCACCAACCACCACACAGAATGTTTGTTTGCAGACAATAGGGGGAGGTGGGTTGTGCACGCAGTTAAGTTGAGTTGCACTACATTCGGGTACATTCTGGCACATTCTGTGCGTCAGTTTAGTTGAACTACAGGAGGCTGCATTGCACTCACCCGCCACACTGGACGCATCCTCCACCATGCGGCCGCCCCCCAGGGCTCCACCTGACACATGCAGGCGCAGGTTCACAAACACCTGCGCACACACGGTGGAGGGGTTAGGGAGAAGGGGGAGGGGGGCGGGGGGTGTTGGAGAGAGGGGGGGGGGGGGAGGTGGGGACGGGGGAAAAGAGAGGGAGAGTAAGGCGCATGAGTGGCTAACTTGTGCAAGCTGGTTATCTAGACAGAACCACGACAACCAACCCACTGGTGGTACTACTCGACCAACAAGTGAAATATGGACGGACAGGCGCATGTGTGATGGGAGGGGCTTACAGCAGCGTGCTGGTAGCGCGCCGAGGGGGACACGCCAGGCGCGATGGCCCACTCCCACCGCCCGTCTCGGTGCCGCGCCAAACCATACGCGCCTGGCAGGGGCTGTGGGGGGACAGGGGGGGGGGGGGGGGGGGGGGTAACGAGGGAAGAGGAAAAACGGGAATTTATGGACAAGGTCAGTACTTACTGGAAGAATCAAAACAAGCACCTGCACAAGGGACTTGGACCATAAGGGAAGAGCGCAGGTTGCATCACAGTGCAGGGCATGGCATGGCACGGCATGACATGAGACAACAGTGCAGCTGGTGCAGCACGAGCAGAGGCTCACCACGCTGCTCCCGTCGCGCCCGCCACAGAGCAGCAGCAGCCCGTCATGGCGCGAGCTGGCGGTGGCGTACATGCAGGGCGGCGGCCCCTCGCCATCGGGCTCCAGCTTCTTCCACTCGTACGGCTTCGCCGCCGTGTCCAGCGTCCACACGTCCGCCAACGGCCGCTTGCCTGGAGGACGGGCGGGAGGGGGAGTAGTACATAAGGTAAGACGAATGAGATAGATGGTGTTTCTTAACATTCTCAAACGCATGTGGCTGTGTCCAGCGTCCACGCGTCCGCCAACGGCCGCTTGCCTGAAGGCGGGAGGAAGGGGGAAAGGGGGAGGAAGGCGGGGGAGGGAGAGGGAGAGGGAGTGGTGCGGAAAGGGAGGAGGAGGGGAGAATCACATGCACTGGGCTTGAATGAATGAGGTGAGCGTGGTGTAGCTGGACTGAGAATGTATCCCGAAAGGTGGAAAAGGACAGGGTTCTGGGTAGTCGAACGCGTGGAGTTGAATATAGATCTCTCGCTCGCTAGCTCGCCATGTCGCTCGTTCGCTGGCCCGGTGGCGTGGCGCTCACCGTCGTTGCCGCTGATGGAGAGCAGGAAGCGCTGCCCCACCAGCGCCATCACGTGGCCGTAGCGCGGCCCTGGTCCCGCGCCCTGCACCACCACTCTGATCGCGGAGGGCCGGGGGGAAGGGAAGGGAAGGGAGGAAATAGCAGGGGAGGGGGATGCGGGCGGTGAGAGTCAGGGGCGGTTAATGAAGAAAGAGGTCGAGGCTGTTAATTCACAATGCGCGGGAGACGGAAAAGGTCGTAGCGAGATAGGGAAGGCACCGTTTCCCCGTTACCTGTGCCATTTGGGGCGCGCTTGTGTGAGGTCGAGGACGTGCAGGTCGTCCGTTGCCAGGCCCGCGGGCCCAATGCCACCCTGCCAACACGCGTTCAGCGAAATTTAGAGAAACGGACTGGCGAAGAAGTCGAACGATGATAAAGAAAAGCCTCCACTCCTGAACACAATTCAATAGCCTTTCGCGCAAAAACCCGCGCTAGAAATGAGGGTAAAAGGACGCAAGATTAAGAGCGACCGAGGGTTCGCGCGGTAATGTCGAGCACTGATGAGAAGGCACCTGAATGACGATCATGGTCCCCACTGCCGTCGCCGCGTGAGCTGCTCGAGGCGACGGAGGCTCGCCGACTGGCGACATTCTGAAAGCGAGACGACACGGGAATGCTTCTGCATGAGGCGCGTAACGTAATGCACGTACTACACATAGTAACGGCGACGATGGAAACTCCGCCATGGGAACTCAAATCATTACACCACTACCGATTGGCCTTACGACAACGCCTGCTTTCCAGTAGAAGAGGAGACCTCCAGAGTGGTGATAAGCCCTTTGTAAGCGATACTGAAATCTTGACATTTGTATATGATTCTTTTCTCGCATTGTGAGAAACCAGACATTCACGTACTTGCTCCATGTTCTGGATTTCACGTCGAAGCAGTGAACGTCCGCAGTTGCCCCCGCCAGACCTGCGCGCGATGACAATGCGAGCTTAAAAAGATGAGCTTGGAGAGTGGGGGTTAAAAATATGTGACCTTCAAACAACCTGAGAGGCGTACCAAATTAAGAGTTTTAAATGCATAAGAGAAAAATGATAGGTGCCCGACAACGATAGCGGGAGAACGGAATGGCGTAACGGCAATGCCAGGTACGACGAAATGATACGACATGACATGACATGACATGACATCAGATGACCTGACATGGTTAAGAAAGCGATGCACCAAGGTTGGTAGGTGCCGAGCCTTACGAATGCCTGCAGCGCCGCCTGCAGTGGCGCCAGCTCCGCCTTCCAGAGCCGTGGCTCCACCGAAGAGAATCAGTCTCGGACCCACGTAGTTGGCGCTTCCTGGCTCTCCCACCGCAGCAACGGCTGTAAGCGTATGACCGCACCTAGGGCCCGGCGACTCGCCATTGAACGGACAGGGAGTATACGTGGGAGCTATTCTTGGCTGCTCGCCATCGGCGTCGACGTCCATGCTTTGCAAGTCTTAAATTAGGAAACTAAAGAAAGTAAAATGACGCTACGGATGAATTTGGCGAGTCTGGACGCAGAGGAAAACGACAACACGCAGAAGCAGTCGGAGGCACAAAATATCGCTCTCAAAATACGTATTAGCGTAAGCGTTACTTCTGTTAGAAACTCTGAGCAGGTGACCTAATGTCCGCGCACAGGCAAGGCGCAGTCTCGACACTAGGTTCAAAGAAGTGAAGCAGGGCGTGGTGGTTGGGGGAAGAGTGAGTGAGTGCTGTTTGACTGGCTTTCGACGATACGACCTAGACCTATGACTCGCTTAGTTGATGAGAAGCTGCTACGGGTGGTGGTTCAGGCAATCGGGGATGTTGAGTCCAGCTGGATAAGGCTGGGCAGGACAACCAGTTGTGTTGGTGGTGGGTGCAGTGCTGCTGCTTTTTGGGACTCGGATTGGAGAAAAGGCCAAATTCGTTTGGGGTGGGACAGGGTGGAGTAAGGTGGTATGGGATGGGCTGAGGTGGGGCGAGCTGCTTGTGATTTAGTATGGGACTTTCCCAGCATTCAGGTCCTCCAGAGAGATATGGCAGAGACAGACATAGGTGAAAGTTTCCAAACCAAACCGCCAAGTAATGACATCCGAGCCGGCACATCGTGGCTTTCGACAAGGCTTGGAGGCTGGAGAAAACCGTGTTACCGCACCCAACAGCTAGAAGAGCCTCGATTTGGAAAACTTGCGGAGGCTTGGTGTAACCAGGCAATTGGAGCCTTGTAAGGAATTTTCCCGAATTCCTTATCGGGGTTGACTGCTTCGCGTACAACCCGATTTTCGGAGTTCGCACGTTCGGCCGATTTCAACGCTGCCGAGGCTCCTCACGTCGCCTTCGGCTTTCCCATCGCCAAACCTGCACCCAACCTCACTCGTCCGAGTTTTCCTCCTAGCTAGAGTAGTCCTACATTAGTCTGTGCATTCATTGTATTCGCAGTTGATTCAGTCACAGCTTCGTTATTCGTTTACCTGCGCACTCTCTTTTACAACTCATAACACCTGGTATCAGAGCTACTTTCCTAGTTCACCCCGCTTTTCCGAGGGTAGTTTGGTGGCATAGGGTGTGGCTGGTTTAGTGAATACACGACGGTTGGCTGCAGGGATTGTTAATTCAATCTTGCCCGACTCCGATAGTTCGTGTTTTCATTTGCCTGAAGGCCACGGAGACCCGATTGCCCACCAGACGTAGCGTTAGGCATATGGATCAGGAAGCGGTCAACAGGATGATGGCGCAAGTGGCAGATATGCAGGAAAGCATGAAGACGTTAATGGCGGAAGTGACGACACTGCGAGAGGAAAACGCCGAACTACGCCAGACGCGAGGTGAAGCGCGTCAGGAGTCGCCTGTGGACGAAGGCGAGGGCAACAGTCAGGCGATGAGCAATCCATTGGATGCGCTCACACGTGACTTCGAAGAGGAGGATAGGCAGCGAGCGGCAGCAGCTCCAGTTGCAGTGACAACGATCAAGATCAAGCCCGTCAATCCACCCCCGTTTAATCCTACGGACAAGACGATTACGGTAAAAGGGTGGTTGTTCGGGGTCGAAGTCTTTTTTACTGCAGGCGGAGTTAATGACGATGCCACGCGTATTAATTACGCAGTTTCGCTTCTTCGAGGTGCAGCGCTTGAGTGGTGGCGCCGAACCTTGGAAACAGGGACGCCGACAGGTGTGACACATGCGGCAGACGGGACCTCTACAGTGACTAATCAAGTGGCAACGTCGATCTTCGGAGTGACCACGATACGCACATGGAAGGAGTGGGGCGCAGCCTTACGAGGTCGCTTCGAGCACGTATCCGCCTCGGAGCAAGCTCGCATGAAGCTGCGTGCATGGTCGCAGATGGCTTCTGTCCAAGACTACACGGCGTCATTTATGAGCCTCGCCGACCAAGTCGATGACATGTCGGAAGCTGAACGGCTGGATAAATACATCAGCGGCCTCAAATACGAGATACAGTACGAGGTTCGCAGGGGCCGTCCGACGTCATTTCTTGCAGCAGTACAGTTGGCGGAGTCCACAGATGCGCTGATGCAGTACGCGAGAGCAGCTTCCCGGGAGGGAAACCGTTTTCGTGGCCAGACCCATCGGACCACGATCAACGCCGTGCATAAACCCGACCGCCCTCCTAAGGGACCGTGTTTCCGGTGTGGGAAGACGGGTCACTACATGAAAGATTGCCACGAGAAAACGCCACTGATGGGGAACGACAGGAAGGAGCAGGGAAATGGGAAGAGTCAGTAATTAGCGGGCCCTTTACTGACTGTGCTCCGTCGCCCGAACCCCGCCATCCCCACCGAGTCGTGGTTCCGATTCATGCAATCGATCGCACTCGGCCGAATAACGGGGATAATCACGTGGATCACCCTGTGTTGGTCGCTGGTAAGGTGTTAAAAAATAACCCGAAAATGTTCGTCGATGGAGGGGCCAGTCATAGCCTCTTCAATTTGGCGAGCGCAAAAAAATGCAAGCTGCAACTTGACAGGTGTCTGCCCAAAGTCGACGCTCGCCTCGTGGACGGGACGCCTCTGGCGATAACGGAAGAAACGCGGACGGTCAGGATCGAATGTGGCGACGATTTCGGCTTCAGCATGAAGTTCCTCGCGACAACATTGGACGGCTGCGACGTACTGCTGGGACGCGATTGGCTGCGACGGCACAACCCCGTCATCGACTGGACAACGGGGACGTGCAGCATCAACAAGCACGAGGGGCTAATTAAGCTCCCTGCATGGACCCCTGACTACATCCAAGCCTCGTGCGTCAAAGCCATCACTATAGCTCGCCACTTCAACAGGGCGCGCAGCTGTTCGCCGTTTGTTTACGCGAGTTGGCAGTCGACACCGAAGGAAAAGACATCGAGAAGCTGTGTGCAGCTGTACCACCGGATTTAGCGGAGCTGATTCGGAGGTACCCGGAAATCTTCCCCGACGATCTGCCACCTGGACTGCCACCGGAGAGACCTGAGGACCACAAAATCCAGCTAGAACCTGGAGCGCAACCAACCGCTTGGACACAGTGGCGGTTGACCCAGCCGGAACTCGAGGAGCTGCGACGACAAATCGACGCACAGTTGGAAAAAGGGTTCATTCGGGCCAGCACATCTCCCTTCGCAGCACCGATTCTGTTCACTCCGAAGAAAGACGGCGGGCTTCGCATGTGTATCGACTATCGCGCGCTGAACAGGGTCACCATCAAGTCTCGCTACCCAATCCCACGCACCGACGACCTCCTCGACCAACTTCGTGGCGCTCGCTATTTCTCGAAAATTGACTTACGTGGCGGTTACCATCAAATTCGAGTCTTCGCCGACGATTGTCACAAGACTGCGTTTCGTACACGCTACGGGAGTTACGAATTCACAGTGATGCCTTTCGGCCTCACGAACGCGCCCTCAACTTTTCAGCTGACCATGAACAGGGTTTTTCGGGATCTTCTAGACCGGTGCGTTATCGTCTACTTAGACGATATCCTCATTTTTAGCAAGACAAAAGAGCAGCACCTCCGTGACCTGGACGCAGTGTTTAAGCGGCTGCAGGAGAACCGACTCATCACCAAGGGCTCTAAGTGCGAGTTTTTTAAGCAGGGTTGGAGTTTTTGGGGCACATCATCTCGCGCGACGGCATTAAAATCGACCCGGCGAAAATCAATACCATACAGGAGTGGAAGTCCCCGACGAACGTCACGGAGCTCCAGAGTTTCCTCGGATTCGTAAATTACGTCCGGAGGTTTATCCCGAATATGGCGGGGATAACCGGCCCGCTGACCGACCTGCTGCACAAGAACAAGAATTTTGTGTGGGGGGAGGAGGCAGAAGCGGCGTTCCAGGAACTCAAGAATTTTCTCGTTTCCCCTCCTGTGCTGCGCATCGCCGATCCATCGAAGCCGTTCGAAGTTGTAACCGACGCCTCAGATTTCGCCATCGGAGCTGTGCTCCTCCAAGATTTCGGGAACGGGTTGCAGCCGATAGCCTACGAATCACGCAAGCTGCAGGCAGCCAAACGCAACTACCCGATCCACGACAAGGAGATGCTCGCCATCATACACGCATTTAAACTATGGCGATGCTACCTGGTGGGCGCCGACGTCACTTTTCGCACGGACCACAAATCCCTACAGTACC